CAAACCTGAGGCATCAGGGTGATAAAGTTCTGGAATGGCTGCCGGGGAGGTGCTGCAGTCCCCATCCCTGGAGTGTTTAACAAAGCCTGGATGTGGCACTGGGGCCAGGGCTGAGTTGAGGTGTTGGGACTGGGTTGGATTCGTTATCTTGAAGGACTCTTCCAAGCCTGTGAGTTCTGTGAAGCTCCTGCCCTGGCACTGCCCTGGGCAGCTCTGTTTAGGTGGCCCCATCTCAGGCACTCTGGGATTCTCAGAACCACATCAATCTTCTCTCCTCTTATCCAGGGCATTTCTATTAAGAAAAAAAAAAATTAAAATATAAATATTTATTTTAATTCTTCCTGGAGCGATGGGTTGGCCATTGAAAATTTAGCAATTATTTGGTCAAACTGGATCAGTGTGGCGCATTAAAAGCACCAAGAAACTTCAAGCCAAGCCTGTTTTCATTAGGAAAAGTGCTTTTCCTCATGGATCTTATCCCAGTTTCTTGAGCTAAAATAAGTCTCGTGGCCTTTAAAGCTGTGCAGAAAGATGAGGGAGCGGTGGGATTTAGCCAGTTCTTGGGAAAGTGTTCAGTAATGTGTGGAAAAAGCCATTTGTAGGATGAGAATTTGGAAGAAGGGCGGGAAGGAAACTGGAGAGGCTTCAGGAGAAGGGAGCAGGAGGCTGGAGCTGTTTGGGGTCAGGTGGGCTTGGGGCTCAAGCTTGGTTCCCGTGCCTTAAAATACAAATATTCCAAATTTGGGGAGCACAGGAGTGTCAAAATCTTCCTGGTTTTTCTCCACAAATCCAAGCAGGGCAGGGAGAGGCGGCTGGGCCGTCCCTTCCTGCAGGAACGAGGTGGGACCTGGGCTGGAAATCCAAAATCCCTCCTGGAAGAGTCACCTGGGGAATGGAGCTGAGTGGAGTGGCTCCCAAAAAGTGGTGGGCTGTGAGCTGAGAAAAGCTCAGTGAGGTTTTGTGGCTGAGTGGAGCCTGTCCTGGTGGGAAGGACCTTCCTGGGAATTGGGAAGGACCTTCCTGGTGTGCAGGAGTGTGGGAAGCTGGAAAAGCTGAAGTTCTACATCACAAAATCTGTCAGAAAAAGCAGATTTTCTGGAGAAAAGGGAAGAGCTCAAAGTCAGGGTGCTGACTGCTGCTTTTAACACATTGATTTATTGATTTAAAGCTACCTGTGGCGTTTCCCAGCAGGATTCCTACTTGACACATCCAAGTCTCCATCCCAGAAAGGGGTTTCCTCTCAGGAACACCTTCCTGAGGGATGTCCTGAGGAGAATTCACCCAGCGATTCATTGCAGGATGAATCCATTGGAATTACCACAAAATAAGTCCTTTTTTTTTTTCTCCCTTATTTTTTTATTTTATTTTTTCAAGCCATTGTTTCCAGCCAAGAATTGCACATTGTTTGTTTGCTCGGAGCTGGTTCCCATTCTGCCACCAGCCCCTTTGTTGGTGGCTCACTGTGAAGTCCATCCCTGTCCCCTCAGGATCTCCCTTGATTTCCATGCCTATGTGATCCATAAAACAGCACATGGCAAAAACATCCCCAGAAAGCCCTTTCTGAAAGGCTGAGCCCTCTTTGTGAGGCTTTCCCCGGGGAATCATCTGTGGATCGAGTGCTGAGAGTGGGTTTGGTTCCAGCCATTCATCCTGCATTTGATCTCGGGCTTTGAACCCGTGAGGAGCCGGCGCTGGCAGCGGGGCCCTCCCTGCTCCTTCCTCCTCTCCTGTGCTCCTGCCTCTGCAGCCTCGGGTTTTTTTTTTGGCAGAAATCTCCTTTCTTTGCTGTCGTTTTAGCTCGGTGTGGATGTGTCACCTTCTCAGAGCGGCCCCAAATGGGCTAAACCTGAGCGGGACCTCAGCGCTGCATTGCCTGTCCTGTTTGTCCCTCAGCTCTGCCTTGGGAATTTTGTCTCCTTGGGCATGAGCTGGCTGGACACGAGCCTGAGTGCCCATGTGGGCAAGAGGCCACTGGAGACCCCTGGGCAGTGCCAGCTCTGGGGTGACAGAGGGCCAGGACAGTGCCCTTGTCCCCTGTGCTGGCACTGCCGGGGCACCTCCAGTGCTGGGAAGGGCTGGAGAATTCATGAGGGAGCTGGGAAGGGGCTGGAGAATTCCTGAGGGAGCTGGGAAGGGGCTGGAGAATTGCTGAGGAGCTGGAGAATTGCTGAGGGAGCTGGGAAGGGGCTGGAAAATTCCTGAGGAGCATCAGTCATAAACCAGAGACGATTCCTTCTTCATTTCATGGACTCCCAGAATTGTTCAGGCTGGAAAATCCCTCAGTGCCCATCGAGTCCAGCCATTCCCAGCACTGCCCAGGCCGTGTCCCCAGGTGCCACATCCATGGATTTCAATCCCTCCGGGATGGGCACTCCACCCCTTCCAGGGCTGGACAACACTTTTGGGGAAGGAATTTCCCCTCGTGTGTAGGGCAGGGAGCTGGGAGCAGTTTTTGGGATTCCAGCATGCAGGATGGCTCCGCTTGCTGTCTCTTCCCTCAGGAGTGGATGTCACCAGCAGGGACAGGGGTGGATCCAGAGGTGGCTCCATTCCCAGGACTGCTCCTCTCTCCCAGCATTCTGCCCCTCTGGGATCATCCCAAGGACTCTCTGAGCTCCCTGTTCTGGGGTGTGGATGAAGGAACAGCTCACCCCCCAAATGTGCTCCGGTGCCTCGTCCCTCCCGTGCCACCTGCCTGTCCCCCTCCGGGTGTCAGGCCTGGCTTAGCAAAGCCCAGCTCTGCAAAGCCCAGCTTAGCTGCACGGGGTCTGTGTAAACAATCATCCCTGTTTTCATCCAGGCCTGGAGACTCCAGGAACAATCCCAAACACGACCCCCTGCCCCCAGAAACCCGGAGCGTGCGGGGCTCCGCTCCAGCCTGGCTTTTCCCTGGAGCTGGGATTGCTGTGTAATTTTACCAGCAAACCCCTCCAGCCTCAGCCTTATTTTAGGAGTGGTTTTAAATTACCCGACACGGATTCCTTTTTCCTGGTGGGATTTTCGGGATCTGAGCAAATCAAATAATCTTTGGAGGAGATGCTGGGCTCCTGCTCGTAAAAGCTCCATACATCATAAAGGAAATGAGCAGGTTTTGGGGAGGGCAGGGAGCCAGCAGGGCTGGAGCTACTGCAGCAGGGCGAGAGATGGGATGCAGATGCTGGAGGGGAAATCATGGATAACTCCTTTCTTCCATCCTGGGAAGTTTGAAAGCACCATGGCTGCTGTGGGGATGAAAGGGAGCTCTGAGGTTGGGAGGTTCTGCTGCTGGAAGCACCAGAAACCTTCCTGGGAGAGGCTGGACCAGGTGGGGAATTCTGGTGGCCCAGGATCTTTTCCAATAGGGAAAAAAAATGATCCTGAATCAATTTGATGTGGATGAATCCAAAGCTCTCCTCCTGTCTGACCTGGTGAGCTCAAAAAGGACAGAGATGGTGGAATCATGGAATTGGTAAGGTTGGAAAAGTTGGTTAAGGTCTTTAAGTCTGGCTACCACCAAAGCCCATTCCCAAGGGTTCTGAACCCTTCCAGGGATGGAGACTCCACTGCCTCTTTGGCCAGCCCCTTCCAATGCTGTCTCCCTCAGGAATTCTCCAGCCCCTTCCCAGCTTCCTCAGCTGCTCCCTGCTGAATTTCTGCTCCAGGATGGTTTTTACCTTCCCAATGCCCCTTGGAGCTCCTTCTGCTCCTCCATCCCCATCCTGCTGGAGATTGGGAGAGCCCCATGTGCTGTTCCTTCCCTGGGGTGAAATTTGTTAAGAATCCTCGTTTCCGTGATTATTCCAAAGGAAGCAAAGCCCTGGGGTGGATCTGTGAGATCTCTCACTCCTGGAAGTCCTTTGAGGGATCTGTCTCCCAGCTCGTGGTGTTTTCCAAGCTCTGGGGAAGGTTCTGCTTCCAGAAGGAGCAGAGCTCTGGAAACCAGGCAGGAATTTGTTCCTAAAATGGGGCAGGAATGCAGCAGCAGCTCCCACTGTGGGGAGAGCCTGGGTCAAAAAAAACCTTTTACCAGAATGAGCCTGGAAATGAACATTCCCAGCTTTAGGAGCTGCAGAAGGAGATTTTTGGGGAAAAAAGGGGTTTTATGGCATGGAAATTTCAGAGTGATGTGAAAGCTCAGAACCCTGAGCAGTCCTGCTGGAATTCCCTCTGGAATTGGCTGTGGTGGCAGAGATCTGGAGCTGGGAATGTTGCCTTGGAAGTTTGTGTTGGTTTTTCCAGCTTTCCCAGGGTTTCCAGCCCTTCCCTGCCTGAACTCAGGAGAATTCCCAAGTCCTCTTCCCACTCCTTGGCTGAATAATGGGACAACTCCTGATTTTCCATCCTGATGAGCCCCAAAATCCCCTGTGTTCTCCTGTGGGTCCTGCTGGGGCTGGGGAGGGCTGGGCTCTTCCCACTCCAGAGAATCCTCAGCTTTGCCAAGTGGGAAATGTTCCAGCTCTGAGCCCCAGCTTGGTGGGATAATCCAGAAAAAAATAGGGAATTTTTTATCCCAGGTATGTAAAAATATCTTACACCAGGCAGGAGCAAGGATCCATCCAGAGGGAGATAAAGATCCCAAAGGAAGTTTTATAAGAAATTCCATAAATACAAATAATTATTTCTAGGGAAGGCTCCAGGTAAAGGATATTCTGCTGCTGGGATAGGAAGGAGTTAAAACCTAAAGGGAATTTATTTGGTGATGAGGAAGTGAATGAATTCCTCCCTCACTCAGGTCAAAACTGGAGTTTTCCAAACTGCATCCATGAAAACTCCAGCGTTTTGAGGCTTCCATGCCTCTGAATTAATTCCTGTTGCCTTTCCCTTTTCTCCAGTGGCAAAGAGGAAAATCCCTGGATTTGTCCCCCAGTGGCAGTGGCTGTTAACTCAGCCATAAACAGCTTTTCCATGGAATGGGAGCCGTGGGGAGGGATGGTGTTTATGGACAGTTTGTTTTGGTGGCAAGAACATTGTCCTGATTTATGGGATGTGCTTTGTGCTTTTCCCAATATTCCCACAGAACCAAGTGACAGACACCAACCGGAAGCTGCAGAACGAAGGGAAAGAAGTAAGTGATGGATGCAGTCCTGGAATTACAGCCTGGACTGGGGTGGGAGGGAGAATTCCCTGTCCAGCCTGGCCTCGTGTCCTTGCTTTTCCCTTTTCCCATCCCAGGATTTCTCTTGGAGTGTGAACACTGAGTAATCCCTTTTAGCTTTGGGATGTGAGAATTCCCTGTCCAGCCTGGCCTTGTATCCCTGTTTTCCCCTTGTCCCCATCCCAGGATTTCTCTTGGAGTCTGAGCCCTGAGAAACCACTGATAATTTTGGGATGTGAGAATTTCCTTCTTGTATCCTTGTTTTTCCCTTTTCCACATCCCCAGGATTTCTCTTGGAGTGTGAACACTGAATAATCCCTTTTATCTTTGGGATGTGAGAATTCCCTGTCCAGCCTGGCCTTGTATCCCTGTTTTCCTTTTTCCACATCCCAGTTTTTTTCTTGGAATCTGAGCACTGAGAAATCAGTTTTAGCTTGGGATGACAAAAATTCCCTGTCCAACCTGGCCCTGTGTCCCTGTTTTCCCCTTTTTCCACATCCCAGGATTTTCTCCTGGAGCCTCACGAAATCCCTGTTAACTTTGGGATGAGGAGAATTCCCTGTCCAACCTGGCCCTGTGTCCCTGTTTTCCTTTTTCCACATCCCAGGATTTTCTCCTGGAGCCTCCTGAAATCCCTGTTAACTTTGGAATGTGAGAATTCCCTGTCCAGCCTGGCCTTGTATCCCTGTTTTCCTTTTTCCACATCCCAGGATTTTCTCCTGGAGCCTCATGAAATCCCTGTTAACTTTGGGATGTGAGAATTCCCTGTCCAACCTGGCCCTGTGTCCCTGTTTTCCCCTTTTTCCACATCCCAGGATTTTCTCCTGGAGCCTCATGAAATCCCTGTTAACTTTGGGATGTGAGAATTCCCTGTCCAACCTGGCCCTGTGTCCCTGTTTTCCCCTTTTTCCACATCCCAGGATTTTCTCCTGGAGCCTCACAAAATCCCTGTTAACTTTAGGATGAGGAGAATCCCCCGGGAGCGAGCGGCCACATCCTGCCTTTGAGAACCAAAAAACTTGGAAGAGATGCCTAAAATGGGAAGGGGAAATAACATTTTGGAATCCACAGGATGTGCTCCAAGGCCGCTTCCATGCCTTTGGTTTTTTCTGCTCCCCGTTTGAAATCCAGGGAATTCGGGGAAGTTCCCCTGGCTGGAGCTGCCCCGATCCCGAGCTCGCTGCTTATCAGAGCAGGGTTTGGGGCTCGTGCTGCTCTTGGGATGGAGCCCAGGGCTCTTTGCTGATCCTGAGGGAGCTTTTCCCCCTTTTCCAGCTGATCCTGGCCATGGAGGAGCTGAGGCAGTGCCGGCTGCAGCAGAGGAACATCTCGGCCACGGTGGATAAACTCACCCTGTGTCTCCCTGGTGAGCAACTCCTCCTTTTTGGAGCTCTTTGGTGGAATTCCCAATTTTTTGTTTGCTTTTTGGATTCCCAGCTGCGTGCTCCTGTCTCAGAGCTGTGTTTTCCTTCTCTTCCCAGTGCTGGAGATGTACAGCAAGCTGCGGGAGCAGATGAAATCCAAGAGGTAAATCTGGGCTGAGCTGGGCTTTTAGGGGAAGAGTCCAAGGAATTGTTTGGTGCTGGGTGATTTAAGGAGAATCTCAGCAGTTCAAAACCAGCTTTTCCAGGTTGAATTTCCTGGGTTTTGGCTGCTTTTCCTCACAGCCCTGCTCAGCCTCCTGTGGTACAGCAGAGATGGGGATGGCAGCAGGGTCAGATTTTGGGAATTAAGGTGGATGCTCCTTGGCTTTTTATGGTAACTCAGTACTGTGCATGCAACCGAGGCTAAATTTTATTCCATGAATGCCATAAACCAAACCTTAATCCAATCTGAGAGATCCCAGGGAATGTGGGGGGAATGCAAAGATCTGGAAACATCGGGATGGTGGGAGTTGGGGAGAAAACTTCTGCTGCTGTAGAAATAATTCCTCAAAACTTGGTGCTTTGGGAATGCTGGGCTGCAGATCCAGGAGTTTCCCCACCCTGCACCTGCTGAGGGATGAAAATCTGGGATTCTCACCAGGAATCCTGGTTAGTTTGAGCAGCAGGGAGAGATTTTGGAGCCCTGGGGTGGCAAACTGGGCATGGAGCAGCTGCTGAAGGGGGAAAGGGTGCCAGGCTGGAAAAGCAATCCCAGCCTTGCTCTGGGATTGCCAGGAGCTCCTGCCTCTTCCCAGGCCACTCCAGGGCAGGGATGGGCTCTCCAAATGTCCCAGGGCTGATTTTGGGGCTGGTCTGCTGGCAGGTGTGGGGTGAGAGCTGGAGCTGATCCCTGGGAATTCCTGCAGGGAATCCAGCAGCTGCTCCATGCCTCCCTCTGGGCAGCATTTCCAGGGGCTGCAGCTAAAAACTGCATCCCTTTTTGCCCTCCCTTATTTGGATTGGTTCATTTAGAAACAAACCCACGCTGAAATCCACATTTCAGGAATATTGGGAGCCCTGGCTGGCTTTTTTTTCTGTTTTTTTTTTTTTTGGTCTGGATTTGATGGCTCCATTCAGACACAGCACAAGGTTTTTATCTGCTCCAGGTTTTTATCTGCTTTTATCCATGGTTTTTATCTGCTCCAGGTCTCACTTGGATCATTTCAGGAGGGGCAGCCGTGGGGGGTTCTGCCATCAGGGCTGGGGTTGGGATTGGTCTGATTTGTGTTTGGGGCAATAAACTCCACAGAAGGAGGGGTCAGGGGATGTTTCTAAACCAGCTGAGGCACTTCCCAAATGGAGAATCCATGGCCAGGAGCTGGAGCTGGAGCTGATCCCAGAGGAATGATCAGGGTGGAGAGAGGGAATTTTTCTCTGACTTGGCCAGAATTTAAGGGAGGGACAGAAAATCTTTTTTTTTTGCCGTGGCTGTGTGGAAAATGGTGGAAAACCCCAAAATTTCTGGAGGAATCTGGAGACTCTGGAGGGATCAGACCTTTTTATTTACCCCAGCTCTGTGTGGTCTCCAAACAGTGAGAAATGGAATTGTAAAATCCTGGAAGGGTTTGGGATGGAGGAGACCCCAAAGATCACCCAACTGCACAACTTCCACACCCCAGGGTGCTCCAGCCTGGCCTTGGGCACTGCCAGGGATCCAGGGGCAGCCCCAGAAAATCTGGGAATTCCAGCCCAGCCCCTGCCCACCCTCCCAGCCAGGAATTCCTTGCCAAGATCCCAGCCCAGTCTCCCCTTTGCCAGTGGGAGCCATTCCCTGTGTCCTGTCCCTCCATCCCTTGTCCCCAGTTCCTCTGCAGGTTCCTTGTGGACCTGGATGCTCCATGAGAACACTCAGGAATTCTCTGGGAATGTTCATCCCAGCAGGAACAGGAAAAATCACCCCAAGAAGGCCCCTGTGGCCCTGGATTTTATCCAAATCCTGCTTTTCCCCCTCAGCTCCGGGGTCACGGAGCTGGGACAGAGCTCAGCTCCCATCCCGGAGCTGCTCCTAAAAAAAGCTTCCAAAATTAAATAATAGGACCAAAATTAGGGGGTGTGTGAGAGGAATGGGACCTGAGAATTCCCTGATGAACACCCAGGGGGTGTTTATCCCTCGGGATAATTAATTAATTAGTGATTAATTAGCGATCCAGAGGCATTCCCATGGTTCTCTGCATAGGGTTGGATTTCAGCAGAAATGCCAACCCCCAGGCTGGGGCTGAGCCCAGGACAGGCCCCTGACAGAATTCCTGGAGGTCAGGCAGGAGTTATTCCGAGTGGGAATACAAATGCCAGGTTTTTTCTGTGGTGTTTATTTCTTTTTTATGACCAAAGACCTGTTTCTCCCCAAAAATTCCAGCTGGAAGTGTCCAGGATTACCCATGGATGTATCAGCTAAACTTCCCTTAATTCCTCCTCACAGTGGCTGACATGAGATTTATTAATCATAAATGTTTATTTAATAGTATAATATATAATATTTATCACATATTATTTGAATTAATTATTAATATATAATAAACAATTAATTGATTTTAAATATATAATAATACAGCCAAATCATAAATTAGGTTAATAAATGAATTAGTTAATTTATTAATGAATTAAAAGTTAATAAATTGATAATATATATAAAATATAATATATTTATGATCTATGATTTTATTATGTTATTAAGCCCTCCTAATGCTTTCTGGGTGATTCCTTTTTAATTATTTTTCCCTTTGGCCAGAGCTGTAGTCAGGACAGGGAGGATGATCTTGAATCTGTGGTGGTTCCATACTCCAGCAAATCCTACACATTCCCACTTTCCAAAGGAAAAAGATTCATTTGAAAAAAATGAATTTCCCAGCTCAATTTCCCATTTGCCATCTGAAATTTGCTTTCCTGCAGAAAAGGAGGATCAAACTGAGTTGGGCATGGCCAAAAATCAAAAGGAGTTCTTTATCCGTGGGATCCCTGCATTTTTAAAGGTGTCAAATGTTCATTTTGGGATGGAGGAGGCCAACCCTTGCATTCCTGCCCTTCTCCATGCTGGAACGTGGTGCTGCAGCACGGAGAAGGTCACAGGTGGTGGCAGACATGGATTTGTTGGATCCCTGATCCAGGATTTGGATCCAGTTCTTTCCCCTCTCTGTAAATAAAATTGCTTTGGGTGGGAAGTGGTTCTGGTGGGGTTCAGGAGGGGGAAAGTGGGATCAGATCCTGGAATCCCCAGGGGAAGGAGCTGAGCTTGCTCCTCCAGGTGCTTTGCAAGGCCGGCAGCAGCTTGTGGGTGATAATTAATGAATCAGTTAATGAGTTATCAGTCTGTAGGATTGATGGGATATTCCCAGCTCCAGGATTCCATCTCCTGGCAGGGGCTGCTGGAAGTTTAAGTGGTATTGTATAATTAAACAAAAAGTCCACGTTACGAATCACAAGTAGTTAATTATTGTGCTAAAAGCAGAAATAATTTAAGTCATTAATTAAACAGTTTATCCTTAAAAGTCCTTGTAGAGGAAGACTCCATTTTTTAAATTTGTTAACTTAAAGCACTTCCCCCATGAAGGGGATGGGTTTGGAGACCCCTCCCCACCCCAGCATTCCATGATCCCACTGTTACCAGGGCTGCCTTGGGCTGGACAACCTCCAGCTGCTCCACCTTCCAGGAATGGCGTGGAACTCAACTGTGAGTTGAGTTGTAACTTCTTTTTTCTGTTAGGGTTGGGATTAAATGTGTGAGGTGGTGTTTTTTGTTTGGATGGGGATGTTTATTAGCTTTTCTTATTTTACAGGCTCATGAACTGTGAGTTTTGTAGTGCTTTACGTTAACAAATTAAAAAATGGAGTTGTATCTCTCCCTCTACAAGGTCTTTTAAGGATAAACTGTTTAATTAGGAAATGACACTTAAATTATTTTTACTTTTGGCACAATAATTAATTACTTGTGATTTGTAATGTGGACTTTTTATTTAATTATACAATACTGCTTAAACTTATGAAGAAGGTGAAGAAGGACTAGCTTTGCTTTAAAACTTCATCTTGTTTTATATATATTACTGTACTCTAAGACTTTAAATTCTGAGTTTTCTACTGTGTGATATTACACACTTCTATTTAAACTGCACACTTAGAATTTTAATTGTATTATTTAATTTTGGAAGCTTTTTTAACAGCCTCAGGTTAAATGTAGGGTTTTTTTGGGGTCAGTGCCTGTTAGCACAAAAAACCTAAAATTCTCATTAACCTGGTGTCATGGTTTTGCACATTTGGGGAAGAGATGCAAAGCTGATAATAAAATAATTGAGAAAAAATTTTCCTTTATACCCTTTTAAGGTTTTGAGCCTGCTTTGCCTTTCTCCTAATCCTGTCTCACAGCAGGGATTGGCCAGCCATGAACCCACCACTCCTCCGTGCATTGGGCTGGGAAATCTCAAAATTGGCAAAATCACAAATTGGTGAACCAAAACTTTGAGAGCTCCCCCTGAGGTTCCCCTGATGGGGGAGAGTTTTAAAAGGTTCTGTGCTAGAATTGAGGGATGAATGGGACTTTTGGTTATTTTGGTTTCCAGGTTGTTTATTTTTTCTCTTATCAGCAGTTCAGCATGCCATCTACATATTAGGATATAAAGAGAAAGGTACTAAAAAAGATACAAGACACACAGGTTTAAGGGTTTTTAAAACTGTTTTGTCCAATTAACTCTTGGAATGTATTTTATTTCTAGCTTTCTACCAATAACTAATTATTTGTCTGTTCACACAACATCTGCATCGTGGCTCTTTGTGACCAATCACACTGCAGAAAATGGAGCAGATGAAGAGCAAGAAGGAGATGAGACAATGCCCAAAATCCTCCCTCTTGTCTTCTATCCACCTCCATACTAAACACCCAAAACTCTTTAAGTTTTTCACCCTGTGATAAACTATATGACTGTATTTCACACTCATGGATTCCAATCCATCCCAAAGTCTTGGAAGCTTTCTCCATGGATGAAGGTTAAAGCAGCGTTCTCCTGGGGCTCAGGGTTTCTCAGGACAGGCAGAGAAACATTCCCTGTGCCCCGGGTTCCCACAAAAAGCCAGCAGAGCAGGGTTCCAGCAGGCTGCTCCTGACCTTTCCCTGCTCCCCCAGGCACTACCCGGCCCTGAAGACCCTGGAGCACCTGGAGCACACCTTCCTGCCCCAGGTGAGCCACTACCGCTTCTGCAAGGTGATGGTGGACAACATCCCGCGGCTGCGCGAGGAGATCAAGGAGCTCTCCATGTCCGACCTCAAGGACTTCCTGGAGAGCATCCGCAAGCACTCGGACAAGATCGGAGAGACCGCCATGAAACAGGTGGGATTTGGGGGCGTTTGATGGGAATGAAGATTGGGGAGACCGCCATGACATGGGTGGGATTTGGGGTTGTTTGATGGAATTGGGGTGGGATTTGGGGGCGTTTGGTGGGAATGAAGATTAGTGAGACCGCCATGAAACAGGTGGGATTTGGGAGTGTTTGATGGAATTGGGGTGGGATTTGGGGGCATTTGATTGAATTGGGATCAGAGAGACTGCCATGAAACAGGTGGGATTTGGGATTGTTTGATGGAATTGGGGTGGGATTTGGGTCCGTTTGGTGGGAACCATGAAACAGGTGGGATTTGGGAGTGTTTGATTTGGGGGTGTTTGATGGAATTGGGGTGGGATTTGGGGGCGTTTGGTGGAATTTGGATCAGAGAGAGTGCCATGAAACAGGTGGGATTTGGGAGTGTTTGATGGGAATCAAGGTTGGTGAGACCGTCATGGAACAGGTGGGATTTGGGGGCGTTTGGTGGAATTGGGGTGGGATTTGGGCCCGTTTGGTGGGAATGGGGTGCGAGACCGCCATGACACAGGTGGGAGTTGGGGACATTTGGTGGGAATTGGGATCAGAGAGACCGCCATGAAACAGGGATTTGGGGGTGTTTGCTGGGAATGGGATGTGGGACTGACATGAAACAGGTGGGATTTGGGACCATTTGATGGGAATGAAGATCAGTGAAACCACCATGAAACAGGTGGGATTTGGGGGCATTTTGTGGGAATTTAGATCAGTGAAACCACCATGAAACAGGTGGGATTTGGGAGTGTTTGATGGGAATCAAGGTTGGCAAGACCATCATGAAACAGCTGGGATTTGGGGGTGTTTGGTGGGAATTGGGATCAGAGAGACTGCCATAAAACAGGTGGGATTTGGGGCCATTTGTTCGGAATTTAGATCAGTGAAACCACCATGAAACAGGTGGGATTTGGGGGTGTTTGGTGGGAATTGGGATCAGAGAGACCGCCATGAAACAGGGATTTGGGGGTGTTTGCTGGGAATGGGATGTGGGACTGACATGAAACAGGTGGGATTTGGGACCATTTGATGGGAATGAAGATCAGTGAAACCACCATGAAACAGGTGGGATTTGGGGGCGTTTGATGAGAATGAAGATTGGTGAGACCACCATGAAACAGGTGGGATTTGGGGGCATTTTGTGGGAATTTAGATCAGTGAAACCACCATGAAACAGGTGGGATTTGGGGGCGTTTGATGGGAATGAAGATTGGTGAGACCACCATGAAACAGGCGGGATTTGGGGGCGTTTGGTGGGAATCAAGAGTGGTGAGATGGCCATGAAACAGATGGGATTTGGGGCCATTTGTTTGGAATGAAGATCAGTGAAACCACCATGAAACAGGTGGGATTTGGTGGTGTTTGGTGGGAATCGCCCATTTTTTGGGAAGAGGTTCATTTGTTGTGTGCAAGTTCTGCTTCTCCAAGCCAAGGATGTGGATTGAGTTTGGGATTTTGTTGCTGGGTGAGGAGTGGTTGTTCCTGGAGTTTATCCTGGATTTTAGGCCGTTGAGAAGTGAGGATCCATTGTGTCCTTGGCTTCTCCCAGCTGGAATTTTCCATGGTTTCATGGCAGTCTGGGAGGTGCATCTGTGGGTGGAACTGATGCCTTGAGCAGGCTGAGCTGAGACAGAGACCGGACAGAGTTCCAGAATAAAGCAGGGATTTATTAAAATGATCTCCTCCATGGATGCACCTTGGGCAGCCCAAGAGCCCAGCCAGGGCTGCACCCAAGATGAACCAAAATGAACCCAAGATGAACCCAAATGGCCCCAAAATGAACCCAAGGTGAACCCAAATGGTCCCAAAATGAACCCAAGATGAACCCAAATGGTCCCAAAATGCACCCAAGGTGAACCCAAGTGGTCCCAAAATGCACGATGCTCCCGGGGTCTCTCCCTGGGATCAGCTCTGCTCCATGTGCACATTGCAGTTCAGTGTCCAATTCCAGCTCAGCCCCTGCACTCCCATCCTGCTTGTTTTCCTCTCTGCAGCCCACGGGGTTTGTGCTCCTGGGCTGAGATTTGGATCATTTGTCCTTGGTGCCCAGCTGGAGCAGGAATTGTTTTGTCTCCCTGCTCTGTGCACAGAGCTCACCATCCCATAATATGAAGCTCAGACCCACACACTGAAGCAGCACAGAATGTGAAAAAATAGAAAATTAAAACCTGAGGCATCACAACTCCCCATAACTCCGTTTTCCACCCATATTTTTTTCTTCCCTGCACGGGGAATTGGTGTTACTGGCAGACCTGGAGACATTGGGTTGATTCCTCAGTTTTGGGATAAAAAAGCAAGAAGAGTTTCTGCACTGCAATTCCATGAATTTTGCGTCCTAAACTGATTTTAAATCCTGCCCAAACCTGGCTGGTGCCTCCCTTGCCTTTTCCAGTGGTTGTGTCTGTGAAGGATGAGCTGATGAGCTGAACCTCCCTGGGTGTGCCTCAAATCAGGAATTGCCTTTCCCACTGGATACTTGGATTTCATCTCATTCCAGCCAGGGAGCAGAGCTGGGAGAGGCTCTGGAGTTGCTCTCCATGAGGGTTTTGCAGCTTTGCTGGAATTCAGGAGCAGGGGCAGGGAGCTGTTCCTGCCAGGGGCACTGAGATCCTTCCCTGGGAATGCTTGGTTGGAATTCTCCAGGAGCTGTTGTGTTTGTGGGCAGAGACAAATTCAATTTTGTGTCTTACAAACCCCAGCCTTTCTCTGGAACAGCCTGACTTGAGGAGTTTATTAATTAATTAAATTCCCTGTGTTTCGGTGCCTTTTTATCTTCCCAGCTCCTTCCTGGTTTTTTGGGAAGGCAAACCCAGCCTCCCCTCATGGAATGGAGCTGTGGGGAGGGACCAGTTGGCACCTGAGAGTTCAGCAAACTTTTTATTCAGTTTAAACTTCCTGAAGGTGCAGAAACCCTTCCCAATCCAGATGTGACTTCCTGAAGGTGCAGAAACCCCTCCCAATCCAGATGTGCTTCCAGCTGTGCACGGGGTGATGTCTGGGAGGGCTCCAGGTGCTGGATTTACCTGAGGCAGCAATTCCTAGAGCAGAATTCCCTTTGGAATTTCTCCTTTAGCTCCTTGTGGAGGCAGAGCTTTGGGAAGATCCTCCCTTGGTCCTGTGGCTGGGAAGGAGCAGGAATTCCATTTCTTTTTGGTGTCCAGTTAATGCAGGGAACACTTTATGCAATAATTTTATCTTTTTTATCCCCTGAAGGAGATTTATCAATTTGAGGGACATCACAGGGTGGGGGTGTTGTCTGGTAGTTTCCAGTTCCACGCTCAGGTTTCTGGCAGAGGATCCCAATCTCCTGGCTCTGTGCTGATGGATCAGGAGGGATGTGGATGTCCAACCACATCTGTGGATTTTAGGTGAAAATCTTGGAGGAATTTCCATCATTTCAGTGCCTTTTTTGCTCTTCTGGTTGGAGAAACTTCTGTATTTTTGTATTTCCATCCTTCCCAATCCACAGCTCTGCTCTATCTGTCCCTCCTGCTCCTGTGGCTCCGTTCCTTCTTGTGGTGGTTTTTGTTTGCTAATTTGAAATTTTGCTAATGTTGCAATTTTTGGTTAATGTACTAATGAGTACATTAGTGCTAATTTACTAATGAGTGTGGTGGCTTTAGGGTTGGTTAATTATTAGTGTACTTAGTTTTTGCTATGAGATAAAATTAGGAGAAAGGTAAAGTAGGTTTAATATTCTTAAAGGGTATAAAGAAAAATTTATTAACAGGAACTAAAAGAAAATTAATAAAAATTCGAGCAAATCTTCAGAACACTTCTCCAAAAACTTTACATCCCTTCCCTCAATATCTCATACACAAAACCAAAACACTTCTCCATCTCCCACTCCGAGGGAATCCTGTGGCTCTCCTGGTGTTTTCCTCACTAATTCCAGCCCTTCCTCCTCCTCCCAGTATTCCCAGCTGGAGAGCCCAGCCAGGCTCTGGGGGTGGTGGGGCTTGGCTGCTCCTGCCCTGCCCAAATTCAGGGATGGGGGCAGTGAGGGGGAGCAGCCTGGAATGAGGGGTCACTAAAATTCCCTGGAAATAACAGGAGGAGGTAAATTCTTCATCCTGTGGGGGACAGAGCTGGGGAGTAACTCATGCATGGTTATCATGGAATGGGCTGGGATGGAAGGGACCTTAAAAATTATCAATTCCACCCAATCCATGGCAGGGACACCTCCCACTGCCCCAGGTGGATCCAGCCTGGCCTTGGGCACCAGGGATGCAGGGGCAGCCACAGCTGCTCTGGGAATTCCAGCCCAGCCCCTGCCCACCCTCCCAGGCAGGAATTCCTTGCCAAGATCCCAGCCCAATCTCCCCTTTGCCAGTGGGAGCCATTCCCTGTGTCCTGTCCCCCTGTTCCTTGTCCCCAGTCCCTCTGCAGCTCTCCTGGAACCCCTTGTCTTTCATTTTCCTAGGGATGATAGAGGGAATTTTGCATCTTCCATCTTCAAATCCCAGCTTCCCTCTGTTTTATGGGAGCGATGTGCAGACTCCAGGAGGGTTTGTGGGAGCAGATTTCCCCCCAGGTTGGAGAAGGAGCTCCCTGTGCCCCTTCCCCTCGGAGCAGCCGATTTGGAGCGATGTGGAATGGGAGCACGGTGCTGCGTCCATGGAAGGGCAGGAGGAGCTGTCGTGGTGGGGGTCACTCGGGGCAGGGTGTCCCTCCCAGTATCCCCAGTCTGGATGGCTGGGTGTTTTCCCTGGATGTACTCAGAGCTGTGGGAAGGAGCGGAGCTGGCGGGAGGCCCGGAGAGCCGCGACTGGCAGCTCCATGCGTTCGGTTTAAATTAGGATCATATAAATTCCTTTAAAATTGTTTGATTTCACCAGCGGGAACGGAGGAGGCCTCGCTACAATGGGAGAGGAAATGGGGTTTTTGTAACATCACAAACGCGAGGCTGCCGCTGACAGGGGCTGAACGTTTCATTTTGTGATAATCGGGAGGATCTGGCCGGCAGCGCTCGCTCCCG